ACACAAAAATCACTTGTCTGTCTTCCCCCCCCCTTCAATTGTGAGCCGCCCTGAGTCCCCTCAGGGAAAAGAGCGGCCTATAAATGACAAATAAAACTAAACTAAAAAAAACACTGGGACAACATCTAATAGTCAAAGTCCTACATGGGGTTCAGGAGATTATGGAAGTGAAGGGAGCATTTTGGATGATTGGGGCCCCCAAGCCAAGTTTTTTTTTTCATTTATACTTTATTTGTATGCCGCCCTTTTCCCTGGGGGGACTCAGGGCGGCTCACAATTGAAGGGGGGGGGAAGACAGACAAGTATCAGACTATCCTGCTTGACTCCCCAGCCATACAATTAGAGGTATGCAATACCCTTAATCCAGATACACTCTTGCCCCAGGTGGATACTGAATTGCATCATGATTGCGTACAGGTGGTGGATTCTGTATATGCCAGTAGACCTGATCTGATCTTAGTGATCAACCTCTCCCAAATGCTGACTGTGAATGGTTTACAGATGGCAGTGGCTTTATGATGGAAGGTCTGAGAAAGGCAGGATATGCAGTGGTCATAGTGTGGGAAGTTATAGAAGCCAAACCACTACCAGTAAACACTTCTGCTCAACTGGCTGAGCTGGTAGCTTTAACGAGAGCCTTACAGCTGGCTGCAGGACTAACAGTAAATACACAGATAGCAAATATGCCTTTGGAATTTTGCACGCCTACGGAACTTTATGGGAGGAAAGAGGATTATTAAATGTAAAGGGGTCAACTATTAAGTAAGTCCCACAAATTTTAGAATTATTGGAAGCAGTCTGGAAGTCAAAAGAAGTAGCAGTCATGCATGTCAAGGGGCATTGTAAGGAAGACACCCTTTACACGAAAGGGAACCAGGCTGCAGATAGGGCTGCTAAGGAAGCTGCCCTACAACACTCAGAATTAACAGCTTCCCTAATTCCAATGACTCCTTCCATACCCACTTCCCCGCCCTCTTATACACCCAGGGACAGGGCATGGGCTAAGTTTATCAGAGACAAGAAGGGGAATGATGGGTAGTGGAGGGTAGAGAGCAAATTTACTCTACCAGATACACCTCTAAGGATTCTGTTATGGAGAGAAGGCGGGGCTTAGCAGTGAGAAGACGGACTTTCAGGCATTTCCTGAATGACCATCTATACCGGAGTCTTTTTTGGAGGATTCNGGCTTTTGCCCGCTTGCCTCACCAGCCATAAACCTCACCGCACGTCACTGTTCCACACTACTAATAATGCATTTCCTATGTAATGCCTTTGAAAGTATTTGTGTGCTGTGCTTCTCCTGTACCAAAGAAATGCATGCCACCCTATTTGAATATCATGACCCTTCAGTAGTAGTAATCTCCTATTCCTTAGAGTAATCCACTCTTTTACCCATGCAAGTACAGCAGCTTGATGGTACAATTCTCAGTCGGGCAGACCAAACCCTCCTTTCCCTTTTGATTCTTGCAGTAGTTTCAATTTAATTCTCAGTTTTTTTCCTTGCCATATAAACTTCAACACTATATTGTTCAAATATTTTTTCTCTAATTTTATGGGTATATTTTGAAATAAAAAGTATCTTCTGCAGAATGCTGATTTTTATTGCAGCTATTCTGCCCATTAGGGAAAGTTGCAGATTCTTCCATCTCTCCATGTCTGATTTAATTCGATTGGTTAGTTTTGTGTAGTTGTCCCCTTTAATTGTTCTACACCTTACTGTTAAATAAATTCCTAGATATTTCATTTTTTTCCACTATCTGGATGTTCATTCCCTTTATTAGTTCAGTCTTCTATTTGTTTGTCATATTTTTGACTATCATTTTAGTTTTTTCCTTATTTATTTTTAATCCGGCTACTTCTCCATATTCCTCCAGTTACTCTATAAGTTTCAGGCCTGATTTTAGTGGTTTTCCAGTGTGTGATGTGGGAGGAGCTACACGTGGGTATCAACACAGCCTGATTGGTCCAGAGACTGAAGGAATTTCTTAGCCACACCTCCTCCTTCCCTTTGGCTCCCAGTTTTCCTTCAGTCTTTGGTCCAAGCAGACTGGGGTTTTTTGCTCCTGCTTGGGAAAACTAAGAACTTGTTGGGTTTGGACTTCGGGGGTGGCAAGGTTCCAATTGCAGCTCGTCAGGAGAGGTTGTGCCAGCAATAGCGGGCTTGGTGAGCCCAGTGCGATGAGGAGGCGCGTGGCAATTGCGCGACAGAGTTCTGGACGGCGTCAACCATCTTGAGTGGCCACGAGGCGTGCCACGAGGTGACAGCCATCTTTGGTGTGGCACGGATTGCCGGAGTGGTTCCCCAGTATCACAGCCACCAATCGAGGTCAGGGGAAGCCTTTTGGAGCCGGAAGCAGCCTAGAATCTCCCACAGCTGCAGTGCCTGAGGGGTTTCAGCAGTTTTACCACCCAGCGCCTGACTGTGAGTATGATGGCAGCCACCAGGGCTGCAGCTGGGCCCGATTCACCAGGGGAACATCAGGACACGGGGGCGGAGGAGAGCGACCCCAAGCCCTGCACCAAAGCAGCTACTTCCAAGCTCCTGGCCTCCCAGCGCCCTTCCAGGGCTACTGTTCGGGAATCCACAGGCAGGCAACAGGAGGCTCGTGCCAGCGGACCTAGTCCATTGCACAGGTCCAGGTCACCGGCCAGAGGTTTTAGTCCTTCCATTTTTTCTCCAGGGTCACCTTCCAGGCACAACAGGCAGGAGATTTCTCCATCCCCTCCCCCCTCTCCCAGGTCAGTCAGGGATGTTATGGGGGATCCATTGGAGGGCACCTCTAGAGACTACCTCCCCCCCCCCTGTTTTGGCCCCCCTTGGGCCTGAGCCACAGAGGCCCACTGTTGAGGACCTGGAGGATCTGGATCTTCTCCCAGAAAGTATCAGTAGGTTTATTGCTTCTGCCATCTCTCAGGCCATCGCCACAGGCCAGAGCCAGCAAGAGGCCCGTTCTCAGGGCCACAGGGTGCCTCGTGAAAGGTCTCAGGTCAGGTGATCTAGCGATAGGGCTTCCTCCCGGGAGGCTTCCAGGCCACGCTCCCCTTCCATGGTCAGTGAGGGGTCAGTCATGGGGGAGGAGACCTAGCGTGAGGCAGAGCTTTCTGAGGATGAGGAGGCTCTTCCTCCTGATCCCCCGGCCTTCCCGGGCCTGTTTGCTCCTTCGCATTTCAAGACGCTCCTGCATAAGTCTAGGACTACCACTAAATTGGGGGGGCACTCCGGGGGCTCCCAAGCCTAGGGACCCAGATCAGGCCATGTTTGCTGCTACGTCTTCCAATAAGAAAGGGGTCCCGGTGCCCCCTCTCTTCCTGGAAGTTGTGAAGAAGCAGTGGGTGCGACCTTCAGCATTCCCCAACCCAGGGAGTAACAACCGCCATTTCTATAGATCAGGCCTTTGCCCAGGCTCTTCAGTTTCCCACCATGGATGCGCCTGTGGCGGCATTAGCAACCTCCTCAACCATAGTGTCGGGTGACACTGCTGATAAGCTTAAACCTGAGGATAGGTGGGCAGAACTTACCTTACATAAGAATTCCCAAGCCTCTGCATGGGCCATTAAGTCAGTTGGCTGGAATTGAAGGTGGCTTGTCTGGCACTTCGACACTTTCAGGACCTCCTGGCCAGCTGGCATGTTCTTCTGATGGACAACGTCACCGCAAAAGCGCACATGAATCGCCACACTCAAGGAGCCTATGGCTCGAAGCCCTGAAGCTTGGGTCATGGGCGGAGAGACACTTGTCATCAATAGTGGCAGAGCACATCTCAGGGACAGCCAACCACCAGGCTAACTGGCTCAGCTGTGCAACCATGGACCACAGGGAGTGGCAGCTCCACCCCGATCTGTTCCAGAGGATTTGCAAGAGATTCAGCACCTCCCTGGTGGACCTCTTTGCAACCCTGGCGAATGCACAGGTTTCCAGCGCAGAGAGCGGAGGGGACAGACGCCCTGTGGAGCAGTTGGCCGAGCGGACTACTCTATGCCTTTCCACCCCTTCCCCTGATCCCAGGGACCCTGAGGAAGGTAGAGGCAGAGAGGGCTGTCATCATTCTCTTGGCCCAGACGGCCGTGGTTCACGGATCTGGTCCAGATGTCAATCTCGCTCCCGTGGAGGATTCCTCAGGAGGAGATCTCCTTGTGCCAGGGGGTCCTGGTCCATCACAAGCCTCAGTGGCTCCACTGAACCACATGGCACTTGAGCGGAGCCTCCTGAGGAACGCCAACCTCTCGTCGAGGGTCATCACGACCATCGAGGCCTCGAGGCGTCCGTCAACCACTAGAATCTATTATTCTACGTGGGCGGCGTTCATGAGGTCGTGCACCTCCACGAATGTTCCAGCAGCTTCTGCTTCCCCCCCTCAGATCCTAGACTTCCTGCAGGATGGGTTGGACATGGGGTTGTCTCATAGCACCCTCCGTCGCCAGGTGGCAGCAGTGTCTACAGTGCTTGCTGGGGAGGACCTTGTCCCTCTTTCTCAACTTCCGATGGTCAAACGGTTCCTTCGGGTTACCCACAATACATATGTTCCCCAGCTGGGACCTGACCTTAGTTCTTTGGACTCTGATGGGGTCGCCCTTTGAGCACTTGAGGACGGTCCACCCTCGGCTCCTGACCTTAAAGGTTGCGTTCCTGGTGGCAATAACATCGGCCAGACGCATCTCGGAGCTGGGGGCTCTGTCATCCAGAGGGGACCTCTGTGTATTTCATCAGGACCGAGTGGTCCTCAGGTTGGACCCGTCCTTCATTACTAAGGGGAACACCCCTTTCCACAGGGCACAGGAGGTGGTTCTCCCGAATTTCTGTCCTGCCCCCTCTCATGACAGGGAATGCCAGTGGCACAGATTGGATGTCCGAAGGGCTCTTTGGATTTACCTCCGACACACGGCCTCAACCCACAGGCCTGAGGCCTTATTTGTGTCGTTCCTACTTGCTACCATGTGAGCTAGGGTTACCTCTTCTACCATTGGGAGGTGGATTCGGCAGGCCATTGCCACGGCCTACGAGGTCTCAGATCAGGCTCCTCCCCCAGAGATTATGGCCCATTCCACGCGGAGCACAGCGACCACGGCAGCGTGGTCGACCAGAGCTCCATTCGAGGACATTGGCAGGGCGGCCACGTGGTCTACCCCATCTCCATTTATTTGCCATTATTGACTGGATGCCTTTGTGTCTGCTGAGGCTTCCTTTGGTCGCAGGGTTCTCCAACAGGTGATAGCCACCCCAGCGTCTACATCCTAGCATTCCCTCCCTAGGGACGATAGCTTGGGTACGTCCCACGCGTAGCCCCTCCCACATCACACACTGGAAAAAGAACGTTGGTCCTTACCTGAACGTTACTTTTCTGTGTGGATGTTGGAGGGGCTACATCCTGCCCTAGAAAGACGTAGTAGTTAGGGGAAGGGCTGGGGGTGGCCTGGTTGTTTTGTTATGCCTTTCAGGTGTACTGCTTGCTGCGGCCATACGGAAAACTGGGAGCCAAAGGGAAGGAGCAGGTGTGGCCCAAAAATTCCTTCAGTCTCTGGACCAATCAGGCTGTGTTGATACCCACGCGTAGCCCCTCCCACATCCACACAGAAAAGTAACATTCAGGTAAGGACCAACGTTCTTTCCTCTAAAATAAAAACTAGGTCGTCTGCAAAAGCTTGTAATTTATACTTTTCTCTTTTAATTTCCAGTCCTTTGATTTGCTCGTCTTGTCAAATATTTCTAGTTAGTACTTCCAATGTTAGAATAAACAATAGT